CCAATAAACTTTGTGAATTATACATCACAAGTACATTTTATACATGCTTGTACAAATACGTGTAATATTAAGAAGCACGATGAAACGAATCGCCGTTATATTTTAAATGAATTCTGTTATAATCCAGTGTAATACAAATACTATAATGTAATTAGCTATTTGACATATATTTAACAGATAATTAACATGTAATTGATAGCTAGTGGCAGATTAATAAAATATTTAACGAATAATAAATAGCTGATAAGCAGATTCTGAAAATATATTTGATATATAATTGACGTCTTGTAAGCAGATTTTAAAAAATCTATCTAAAAGCTGATAGCTAGGAAGTTATAAGGGACTTAACACCAAGCTGTTTATTAGCTAATTATAATCTGTTGAAAATATTGTTAACATATTTTTAGAATTAGTAAGTTTCTGTAAAGTGCCTATGAGTTGGGCAAAGAATTTAGTAAGTGGGTGGATGAATTCAAACATGATCATGTTTTACTACAATCATTTACCAAAGAACGAGAAGAAATGTGGAGAGCACGATTAAGGGAGTTGGTGGAAAACCCACGACCTCTAAAGGCATCACAAAATTTGCTTACTAGCAAATGCCTTGATGATACCAGACAAATAGGAATGAATGTCGATAATAAAATCGGAACAAGTAATGACGGTATGTTGTGTTATTATCTATTTAAAATATGCAATATTTGTGTAAAAACAAGATTTCTAAAACACTTTATAATGGTAGCATATATTACTCGTCAAGTTGACTTATCGCTCACTCCTGAATCGTAAAATTTGAGTAAAATTAATAATCAAAATTTATATTATATCGAGTTATTCATTTATGGTAATTTCTAAGGTCTTAAAGTTATCCTTATATTCGTAATAATAGTATGTTTGTATGAATTTATTTATTCAGATAATATTTTTACAACGCGAATGGAATTAATAATCATTATTTTTTATCTTCAATTGATAATTCAACAAAGTAGAATTATTAAAGTTTCAAAGAGTCATTTTTATTTTCCGAATACATTTAATGCTTTTAAAATTTTAGCATTGCTATATTCTGGTTTCATTACCTATTGTAAAGTTTGGAACCAATATATTGCAGTCAAATTTAAATTCGGTTTAATCCGATCTTTGTAAAGTTCATTACAGTTGATAATAACTTTTGTTTTAATTTGAATTAAACGGCGTTAAAATTTAAACAAGAAATTAAAATCGAATTCTATAATAAAATCGATTCTAATCTCTGACCTATTGTAGTAGGCTAAACTGCTAAGTTGATCCAACTTCTCGAATCTTAACTAAAAAGACAAAAGCTTACTGTATTTAGACATGTGAAATAACTTGTTGGAACTTTATTTACCAGGCTTTTTAATAATAATTATTTGACTTATAACATTGTATTTTTTTCTGACTATTTTAAATAAAAGAATACAATAATATTGGTATACGCGTATTAAGTCATTTTTAATCTTATTCTTGCATTTCCACCTAGCATTTACTCACGTCTTCTTAATTGTTGTAGCATCCATTTCGAATATTGTGAATCTCTCAATAGCAACTTCAATATAAAATATAATTTATCGGTATTGTATTTAATAAAATGTTTAATGTTTTTATAAATAATATATATTAGAATAAGTATAACTGTATATCAGTGGAATGGATATAATGATAATGTTTTTTTATATAAAATTAGCAATTATAATTTACAGCATAAAACTTGTATATTATACTGTATTATTAAATTTGTGAAGCAAAATAATTTTTATTTAATTTGAATTTAAAAGGTAATACTATATATACAGTAAAAATAAAGATTTTTTAATCATAATTTTAATACAAATTAAAATATATAATATCATAAATTATGATTTTTTTATTATTTAAGGTATGTTATAACCAACTATGCATATTACGATTTATACATGCCAATAGTTGAAAGGTATGAACTTAAGATATTAGATATTTAAATATTATCAAAAATTAACCGAGATGGGTCGTACACCCGGAGTTATTAGTATTGGTATTTGTTATGAAAAGGGAATTGGAGTCAAAAAGAACGATATAAGGGTTTCGAATATAGTCAAATAACAGACGAGATGGATTATGCAAAAGGAGTAATAATGTTAGCGAAAAATGAATAGGAGTCGAAAAGGATAGCCGAGATGGGTAAAACATCGGGAATAAATCATGTTGACAATTATTATCTCAATCGAATTGAAATTAAAAAGGGTGAACACAAGGCATTCGAGTATTATCAAAAATCGTCCACATGGGAGAAATCACGTACATGGAATGTACTAAGTTAGTTATTGTTATCTCGATGGAATTAGGTTAATTGAAGAGAGTGAAATAACATAAGACATTTGAACATTATCAAAATTAACAAAGATGGGTCATGCATCTGGCGTTAATAATGTTGATACTTGTTATGAAAAGGGAATTGATGTCAAATAGAATGAACATAAGACTTTTGAATATTATCAAATATCAGACGAGATGGGTTATGCAATCGGTGTAAATAATGTTTATATTGTTATGAACAAGGAACAGGGATCAAAAAGTATGAATATAAGTTATTTGAATATTATCAAAAATCAGTCGAAATGGGTTATACAATCGGAGTAAACAATGTGTTATTTGTTACGAAAAGATAATTGGTATCAAAAGAACGAACATAAGGCACTTAATATTATCAAAAATCATCCGAAATGGATAATAAATCGGGAACATATATTGTTATCTCATTGGAATTGGGTTGAAAAGGATGAGCATAAGGCATTCGGATATTATCGAAAATCGTCGAAATGAGATATTCAGAAAGCATATTCAATATTGGCAATTGTTATTATGAGGAGTTGAAAAGGATAGACATAAGGAGTTCGAATATTATCAAAACCTGCCACATTTAATGTTGTTATTTTTCATCGCAATGGAATTGGAATTATAAAGGATGACACAAGGCATTCAAATATTATAAAAAGTCAGTCGATTTGACCATGTAAAAGGAACTTATAATGTTGGATATAGATATCTCAATGGAATGGATGAACGCAAGGCATTTAAATATGTTCAAAAATCAGCTGAAATTAATCACGTAAATGGAACATATAATGAACATAAGGCATTCGAATCTTTTTAAAAAATCTGACGAGATAGGTAATGTGATTAGAATGTTTTATTATTACTGGATTATATAGAAACGGAATTGGAGCCGTACAGAACTTATAAATGTCTACACATTAGTATCAGATGTGAATAAATTATCCTAATTATCATTATAGTTGCTATAAATGTAAACAATTAGGAAAAGACATCAATTATATTACTAGGTATACAATATATTATTAACGGGGAAATATAATGGGGCATGATCGTGTAACGCGATCTGACGCGCCACGTACCCAGATTCTAATAGCCGTTGGTTTCAAATTGGTTAATAATCTTATAATAAATATGATGTAATCGTAGAAGTTTAAAATTAGACTTTATTAATTTATAATATGGGTGACGCCAAGTGAAAACCAGACATTCTAAAAATAGATTTACATGGACAACGGAATGCGGAATTTTAATTGTAATTTTACGTAATTAAAAGAACGTTATAATCGAATATTCTAGTCATTTCGATTAAGCCAATTAAACTTAACTTTTTACGATGTTCATGCTAAAATGTCTTTCGAATAAAATTTATATTATTTGCCTACACGAATATGAATACCTAATTTAAATTTTTAAATTGCTGATTTCGTTCTTTCTGCCAAGCAATTTTATATTATTTTTCACAATCTATTCTAATATAATGGAATCTTCTAATACTATCGTTCAAAACGTAGAGCACTTTTTTGATACTCTTAATTTTGCTACCTTAGAGTCAGACCATAGTGACTTAGATGGAAGCATATACGAAGATTCTCTACCAGAAGAATTAGATTTGGAATTAAGTGAAATAAATATAACAGAACAAGAATTTGAAGAAATTAATCAAGTTAATGATAATGATCAAATGGCAGTAAATAATTTAATAGATAAACTTAATAACTGCTGTTTGTGTGAAGAAAAATGTAGTAAAAAAGTCTCATCATGCTTGTTACAGTCTTTGGTATTGGAAAGTTATCAAATGGACAAAAATCAGCGACGTTATTCAATGATGATTCTTATGGCTTCTGTTTGTCATGAATCACATAAAAAACGGACATATATTAAATATCATCTTCCATATTTTGGTAAAGTTTGTCGCTCTTTTTTCCATACATTTTGGATATGTGGTAAAGATGCATTAAATCGGCTTCATGAATGGCTTAATGAATGTAAATCAATGTTGCCTCGGCCTCATGGCAATATTGGTTATTCGCCTAAAATAAAATTACCTGTAGAAAAAGTTAACAAAGCAAAATCTTTCATTAAATGTATGGGTAAACAACATGGTAAGGCAGTTGCTGTTCGAAAATTTACACGAAAAAAGGCAGATGGACAGGTAACTAGTATTATAAATTAAAAGTTAAAAAAAATTATTAGTTATCTATTATTAACTAAAAAAATAAACTAATTAATCAACTAAAATTTTAATAATTTGTAATACTACAGATAACGATAAGCCATGAAAAGCATGATATTGTTCTCCTTCCTTCTCATTACTCTTATCAACGCCTTCTTGATGCCTATAATTTAATGAATCCTGAAAAGATTATTAAAAGTCACTGGACTTTTCGACAACTATGGAGATCTGATCCTAAACTTGATAAAATTATAATTAGAAAACCGTCTAAAAACAAGTGTGATGAATGTACTATATTTAAACGAGCATTAAAAGAAAATATAGATAAAGTAAATGAAGATTTTGATACACAATTAATAACACATATAACTGATTATCGAGAAATGAGAGATATTTATGAAAATGATATACAAATAGCAAAGTTATGTAATCGATCTTTATTTCGTGTTTTTTCTTTCGATTTTGCTCAAAATATAGAATTGCCCCATGATCCCCAACAACCTGGACAATGGTATTATTTATCATTGTTGAAAGCATATCAATTCGGATTAGTGGATGAAGGTATTGACAATCACTGGCATGTAATTTATACCGAAGGCAAAGCATTAAAAGAAGCAAATGAAGTCACCTCAATTGTTCATCTATTTCTTACTTCTATAGTAGGTGAAACAAAAAAAATTCGATTATGGGCAGATAATTGTGGTGGTCAAAATAAAAATTTTTGTCTCCTTTGGTATTTTCTTTGGGCATGCCATACTCACATGTTTCAAGAAATTGAATATCGGTTTCAAATTAAAGGTCATACCAGGAATTCAGTTGATCGAGGATTTGGTCTTACAAAGCGAGAATATATTAGATCTGAAGTTTGGTGTATTGATCAATTAGTAGATGTAATAAACAGAAGCTCAAAAAACAATACATCAGTAAATTTAGAAAATCAAATAGGACCATTCCGTGATTGGACTTCAGCACTTAGTACATTATACCGTAAACCTCCTGCTATACAAAAATATCATTTTTTCCAATTTAGTTGTGAGAAGCCTGGTATAATGAAAGCTAAAATAAAAAATAATGATCTTTGGGATGAATTCCAATTATTAAAGAAGAATATCGATGTTATAACTTTGAATCCTCAAGAGATTTTACCAAAAGGTCTTTCAGAAGAAAAACAAGTTGACTTCTGGGAAAAAATTCGTCCATATTGCCCAATTGCTTTCCGTGATGACCTTTGTCCAAAACCACAAGATGATGTAATAAAAAAAGTTAAAAATTTGAAAGGAACTCGTATAAAGAAGGCACAAAATAAACGAAGTATTAAACAGAAACAGGTTGAAGCAAACAATATTGATCAAGAATTTCTACCTGCAACAAAATCTTCAGAACATGAAACTATAGAAATTGGTTCAGGTTCTAGATTACCAAGAGAAGCTGAAAAGAGAGAAAGATCCGCTTCGGCATCGAAAATAGTTCATAGCAGATCTAAAAAAAAAAAAAATAAATTTTAACTTTACTGATAATTATGTAATACAGTACTGTAATATTAAAATCAAACAACTAGAATGTTCAGTTATACTTTTACGTGCGATTATTATTTAATGCCCGCACTCCTGCATTCCGTTGTCTATAAAAATCTATTTTTAGAATGTCTGGTTTTCACTTGGCATCACCCATATAGTTACGATAGTCTATATGAGCCATATAAAAAAAATTGTAAAAAGCATAGAGCGAGAGGAAGTCGTCGCGTAATAATAAATCATTTTCTTAATTAAAATATTCCTGATTAGGCAATGCGATAAGCGTTGTCAAAAGGAGTAAATTCTATTTAACTTACCTAATTCAATACTCGCCGCAAAAAAGTGGACGACCTAAATCACAAAAGAGAGAAAGATGAAACTCGTCTAGGAAACGCAGGTGACAAAAAAAAAAAAAGGAAAGGTTTATTAGCACAAGACTGGTCAAACTATATAACACGCCTCGAAAGAGAAGAAACCCCAACTTACCTCGACGTTACATGAGTTTCGCTGCCCATCGCGACAGACTCGTTGATAGAGACATCAACAATATAATAAATTACCATTTTATTACAGTAGTTATCTTATTTATTCTGATCTACAGTGATAATCTATTTAGCTTCGAATGAATCAATACTTAAAGCTCTGATATTAATAATAACTTTAAAAAACGCTTTCTACAAGGGAATTTAAAGGAGTTATGAAGAAAGGACAAGGAGGATTTTCAACTGTGTTTTTTTTCCGTTAATGAACTTATAAAGAGGTAGTTTTATCAAAAATACACACATATATATATTAGACGTTATGCTGTTTTAAACTTTCCCCTATTAATTTTCTACATTAAAGTTAAAAGCATATTGCGACATCAGTAATAAAAACAGAATATTTTACAATGTTATGGAATTTTTAGAGACGCAATCCCAATGGTTATATTGTTGTGACTAAATGTGCAATAAATTTTTCTTTGCCTAATAACCATCATTAGCAGCACAAGCTGAATAAAAAGATAAGCTAAGTTTCAATTAGCAATAATGATAATAATGATGCAAATGGTTCCAGCTAAGCCGTGAGAAAAATGACAGTTAATAAAAAAGCGACTTTTAAAATAACCCGATTTGTAAATTTGAGCCATGAACACTTTAACTCAAGTCTAATATATGTGATGCAAAATTCGAGCTTGCTATATTGTAGTAAACCTAAACCACAACAACATTCGTCAGAAAATTTAACAACCCAAAAAATTACAATTTAGATATCGTTATTATTATGTAAATTTGAGATTAAAATATATAATATAATATGTTTAATACAATTGTTTTTTACTTTTGTGATCTCAACAAATTATTATTGTTTTATACTTTCAAATCTATTTAATATTTTTAATGAAACCCGTTAATTTCTTATACATAAATTCTAAGATTTGATCCATTCTTAAGATGTTTATCAAGACAACACAATTAGTAATACAGTTCTGCTTCAGATATTGTCAACACTATTATAACTAATAAAAAACTAAAAACAAATACTTCCAAAGTTTCGCCATATTTTATTCCAAGCACGGTTGACAAGTTATCATTAGCTCAAAAACTGAATTGAGTATGTTGATAATCAAGAGGATAATTCATGGTACTTTACCTTTTTTTATTGTTGAAGCCATTGTATTGCAATATCTCAATGTCAAATTAATTACACATGCATGGTCTGATTACGAATTTACATAGGAAAGTTAGTTAAAATTGACCTTTCAATAATCGCTTCATCCATAAACTAAACGTACCTCATGTATTGTATTTACAATAACTTATAAAGGTTTCATGTCATTGAAGTCAGACAATAGCATTTTCTTGCCCGTATATATCAAGTCGTTCGCAATATTTTGTTGAGAGAGTTTGACCAATGATCACTATACTTGACCCGGATTTGGAAAAGGAATTATGAATCAAATGAATATTCTCAAAAGTCACTTTTTTGGAATTATCAATTATCCATCCGTCGAACAATACACTATGTAGTAATTACTACTAGATATTCCTGGAGAGCATTTTCGGATATTACAGCTAGTATTGATAACTTGAGGTTGCATACAAAGTAGGCAAAACATTCTACAAAAAATTTTCATCAAACTTAACTAGTTGCCTCCTCCCAGAATGAATCTACTTTGCCTTTTATCTTTCTTTTGAATTAATGAGACACTTATTTGTAATATTCTATTAATACTACTGTATTATTAAATGGCATATACATTTAACAATTTTAAGAAACAATTCCATTTATAAAAATTTTGAGATTTATAAAACATATATATATGAACTTTTTTAACAAGAATGGACTTTATATACAAGTCCAATTATTTGTTCAAGTAATTTTATTATGTTTTCGTTTTTTTTTCAATATTGTTTATAATAGTATGCATAAAATAAAAATATTAATGAAAAATAGACAAAACTTTTATTTATTAATTATTATTTTTTTTCTTTAGATAAAAAATTTTATTATTATAACAAATATTTTAACAATAAACTCTATAGAATATGATAATATCTTAACATTGTATAAAATGGTTTACAAAAATATCAAAATCAACAACTATTCAATGTTTATTACCAAAGAAAGCCCCCCCTTTTTTTTTGAATAACAAAAAGTGTAATGCATATATAGCATGAACAAAACCCATTACATAAATTCCAAATTTGTTTCATTATAAAAAAATTCAGTGTGGACAGTAGTTATTTGGACCAAGTCTCCATGATTTAATATTTCAATGCATGACACTTTCCTGTGCATATTCTGCATGTCAATATATTAAAACACAGAAAACATATCGATTATAAAAAGTACATACTTTATTTATAAGGAATGTTGTGAAATAATTACATTCAGCGTGACTAATTTTTTTCATCATCTTTAGTAGCATTTTCCTTTATTTTCGACGCGACCTCTTTTGCAGCTTCAGGAATTTTTGTACCTGGACCAAATATGGAACTTACACCATTATCATATAGGAATTGATAGTCTTGGTGAGGTATAACCCCACCAACTACAATAATCTTATCATTGACACCGAGTCGTTTGAGTTCATTTATGATTGCTGGCACCAATGTTTTGTGTCCGGCAGCTTGTGATGACACACCAATAACGTGTGCATCATTATCGATAGCTTGACGTACTACTTCTTCTGGTGTGCTGAACAACGGCGACAAGTCCACATCAAATCCGAAATCACTAAACGCTGATGCAATTACTTTAGCACCTCGATCATGACCATCTTGTCCACATTTGGCAACCAGGATCCTAGGATTTACACCCAATTTATCTCGTGTTTCCTTTATAATTTTTTTAAATAAATATATTTGTATATAATTTTTGAGAAAGTTCCGAAATCAGGTGAGTAATAAATCGATATATACTTCAATAACTTTTAATGCAGCGTCTGTTTCTTCCGCAGTTCCATAGGCTGATCTGTAAGCTCCACTGGCAACGCGACTTGACGGTTCATGACGTCCCCACACCTTTTCGAGCGCATATGATATCTCGCCAACTGTGCATCGAGCCTTGGAGGCCTATGTTCACATAATTATACATTAATAAACTTTCTTTGTCCAGAATGACTTTATTTAACAAGTATACATGCCTCAATTGATAATTCGAGCAAATTACCCTTTCCGGTGCTCGCACATTCCGTAAGAGCATTTAACGCACTTTCAACCTAAATTAAATTAAATTAGTACATCCCAATAAATTATGAAATTAATTAGTTTCACAAACCTTATCATTATCTCTTGAGCTTTTAATCCGATTTATATTTTCTGTCTGTTGTTCTCGTACTTTGGTATTATCAATAGTTCGGACATCAATTATGGTCTCCTTTTCAAGTCGATATTTGTTTACACCAACAATAGTCTCTATAATTAGCGGATAGGAAAATTGAACACGTGTAATCAACCTGTTTTCAACATACACGAAAAGAAAATACAACCTTGACCGGAGTCAATTCTAGCCTGCCTTCGTGCAGCACTTTCTTCGATTCTTAATTTTGGCATACCACTCGCGACAGCCGCAGCCATACCTCCCATATTCTCGATCTCCTCTACAATCGCCCTTGCCTCGCTGTAAATCTCATTTGTCAAACTTTCCATCATGTAACTGCCTCCCCATGGATCAGCTACCTTAGGAATAAATGCTTCCTCTTGGAGAATGATTTGCGTGTTTCGCGCGATGCGAGCTGAAAATTCAGTTGGCAGGCCTACTGCTTCATCAAAAGAGTTTGTGTGTAACGATTGGGTACCTCCAAGAGTAGCAGCCATGGCTTCAATTGTTGTTCTTATAATGTTGTTATAAGGATCCTGGAAATTCGGCGAAGGGTGTCATCTCACCAAAAATATGGAAATAATGTTTTTTTATGGAAAGTTACTTACTTGCTCTGTGAGCGACCAACCAGAAGTTTGACAGTGAGTACGTAACATTAATGACTTTTGATTTTTCGGATGAAATTTTTCGTTAATAAAATGAGCCCACAATCGACGGGCCGCCCGCAATTTTGCTATTTCCTAGATAAATCGAATATTTAATTCATTTGGTGATTTAAATTTAAAGATAATGTTCGAGACGAGTTAATGTTACCATGTAGAAGTTCATACCGATTCCCCAAAAGAATGACAAGCGGGGTGCAAAGTCATCTATTGTCATACCAGCTTTGATTCCTTTGAAGTTGATAATGCTTAAATGATTTTTTGCGCGTAAAAGGTAATTTTAATCAATATGACGGATTGATGATGAATTCTAAAGGTACCTGTTCTGATATACTCTAAACCATCTGCAACAGTAAAAGCTAATTCCAAAACATTATCAGCACCAGCCTCTTGCATATGATAACCAGAAATCGAAATAGAATTGTATTTCGGCATGTTCTGAAAACATGGTGATAAATTGAGCGAATATTGTGATCATGACAAAGAGATCAGAAGAATTTTTAAAAAGTGACATACCTTTGAAATATAAGAAAAAATATCCCCAATAATTCTCATGGATGGTTCGGGTGGATAGATGAAAGTATTGCGAACCATGAACTCCTTGAGAATATCATTTTGTATTGTTCCAGACAAATCTTTTAATTTCACGCCTTGTTCAAGTCCAGTAACTATGTACATCGCCAAAATTGGTAATACCGCGCCATTCATTGTCATCGAAAC